CCCTAAATTCCTGAAGCAAACAAGTTCCGTGGCAACCACTTTCGGTGGACGCATCCTATTTTTTACGCACAGTTTAAATAATCCACTTTACCCACGTATCTAATCAACCTAAGTGGTTTTCGGTTTTATGCTTTGTCTTCAATTCAGGCCACCTTCTCACTAATTTACTTTGCTTTGGCTTTCAACCATAGTCAACAGCTTGTTTTAGAGTGAGCAAACCGATAGGTAGGCAGTATCGGCTAACTGGAAATTTAACTTATGTCCAGAGAGAAAGCGTGAGGAAAACGGCAGACCGTTTACACGTATGCACAACATTTAAGTTGTGGGATGATTACAAAAAATACCAAGATTTCAAACTTTCCAAATGTTGACACTATGTTGGATAGTTAGTTTGCCCGATAGCTACCAAAGAGCTGCTTGCCGGACCAGAATAATCGAGTTCTTTTAGGGTGTCTGGAAACATCGGTTAGAAATGGGAAGCATTCTAAGTAAACCTACCCTATCTGTAGTATCGTAGGCTGTTGCATTTGACCAATAAACTGAAATAGCCAGTAAAAGTTTCAGCTGGATGCGTTGATTAAATCGGTCTGCGTTTTGGTAAAATAGGCCTTATATCCTTTGGGTAATGTTAATTCATTTATTGGCGATACTGTACCAGAATTTTGAAGTCCTTGTACGCAGTCACTTGCTACTAGTGGCCATATCTCGAAGTTTAAACCACTGACGCCAGCCTGCGTATTCAGAGATGCTTGGAAAGGGCCAGTAGCGTTCCTTTCGATTTATGCCGTGTGTAATAATACTACAATTAAAGAATCGCAATAAATCCCATTATCTGTCTTAGCTTGAGATAAGAATTAACCTCATAGGCTAGAAACAAAGGCTCATTATCTAACTATTGTTACCTATGCAAAATATACTCAACCGGGGTAGACCCGAAAGGTGTCGCTATTTTTGATTTTCATATGATAATTCGTAGCAAAATATGTGTACCAACAGGCCAATCACATAAAAACCTCCCGGATTCGCCTTCATGCAGACTTAAACCCGGTGAATGTTAACTAGTTTAACTAACTGTTGAATGAGTCAAGCTTTTTCCAATCACCTATTGTGGGAATCTGCGTTCATTACGACGAGTGACATCATTATGGACTACAACCTATGGTTAAAAGGTACTTGTGAAAATACAAAGGGTTAAATAATTGCCCGCTACGAGTAAACATTTAATTGTTTGTGCTCATTGTTAGGATAAGGGACTGGAATGATAATTTCTGGCACACTAGCCGTCGCCTGTCCGGAATAACCGACCCCAGATTAATCCAAGACGAGATTCACAAGAATACGCCTTGGTCGTAAAGACAAGTGTGTTACCGTCGAGTCAAGGTTCTGTCGCTCTGTCGACCGTGATAGGCAATACTTACAATAGTCGAAGGCCGGAGCATACTTTCCAGTTGCGTTTTTGAGCTTTGTCTAGAGGCCAGAGAAGGCAGTCGCGTAAAAACCAGTAGTGATGGCCAATGGTTATACAGTCTGAATTCGAAGCACAGGCCGTAAACTCTACGGATGGGTAATGATGGCTGAGAAAACAGAAGCGGCCAACCCCTTTCTCTCTTTGTTTGTTAGTAGTCCCTCTTGTAAGTAGAACTTATCTTAATGCGGATGTGGACATGAGCTGTACATAGTTCAATAAGGCCTTAAAGATTGGTTTCTTCAGTAACCAGATAGTTGATCGACACCCCTCCTCACCCTGCTTCATAGGGATGCACCTGAAAAACTTCGAAATAGTTTAAACCGACCATACCATTTGGTTTTAGATATTCCCGCCTGCAGCTCATGTGATATACCTATGCACTCGAGAAGATTCGCTGATCCAAGTTCAGTCTGTCCACTCTGATATTTCGTTAGCCACTGAAACTGACGCAATGCAGACCCTATAGGATTACTGCAGCGCTTTCATTTTTTCCGTGAAAACTTTTCGAAATGAGCCAATTGTTTTAAAGCAAAAGTGTCACAGTGTCATTAACTGTTTTGATCGCATTCAAAGGATATGTGCAGACATCAATAGTTACTATGAGGCTCCAGCGTATGAAGTTTTGTACAGACCTTTCCAATGGTTAAAAGAGTGACCCATATTTTTTCCATCTGTGTCTGTTTTCGTTCGTAAGAAGCAACTAACGGAAAGGAATCCTAAATGTTGGGATACCTTACCTGGAAAGGAGTCAGGACTGTAACTGCTTGAGCGCATGGCTACAGTATCGAGCTAAGTAGTTTAAACGCTGGGACGACTGAATCTATGCTTTAAACCGGAATAACTAAATATTAGTAATAAAACAGAAATTAAAACTACAACAATACTCCTCAATTATCGGCTTCCTGTGTTCTGATAATACCGGTAAATTTAGTTGACCGAATTGTTAAAAAAGCTCGCGGCCTCGGTGGAAGTAGTACCCACACAACAGGGAAGGCTTTTGCGAAGCCGAGGTACTAGGCGCACCGTGCGCTGTAAATGTAATCACACTTGGATCGACTTTACCCGCCCAACTTACTACTCGTATGGAAGCCATCATTACGGAACAGCAAGCTGACTGCGCAAGCAGGATTTCCTAGGCAATCAGGCAGAATCCACCAGAATGACTACAACCAAGCTCAATTATTTGTTAGGGCGGTTTGGCAGATTTAGTTAATTTAGTTGATCAAATTGTGAAAAAACTCGGTGGAAGTCGACCACACACACACACACCGGTAACCATATACTACCAAGCACTTCTCAAATTTAATTTTTCTAACACTCGCTTTTGATTTTCCAAATAACAGATGTATATTCTTTGTAAAATCTGCCAACTGTGAGTCAGCAACTAACCTGTGGTCTTGTCACGGATGAGCTTGCAACTAGCAATCTTGCCCACTGCAGCAAACAATACTCGAATCTCCTCCTGTGTCATAGACTGTGGGAGGTAATTGACGATCAAATTCGTCTTGTTGTCCCCACACTCCGAAGCGTTCTCACAGGAGGTCATTTTTGTCTGCTCCGTGAGGTCCTTTTCGCCGGTACCGGTTTTGTTGACCACGGGGCTGCTGCCACCATTCAGGAGGAATTTCGTAGTATCTTGGTGATTGGGTTGCACCAGGGAGGTCATCGTGAATGCTAGTCAAATAAAGTAATAGAGGATGAAAAGTAAACCCAACAGAGGTTAGAGAGATTCGACGACAGAAAACGTAATGCGCATTTAAGCTGCCACGACTGGATTATTAATCAAAGAAGGATACGGGCATATGCATTCCCACCCTCGTTAGTAGGACTTCCTCTAAATTCCGGTGGTTTGGATAAGGATTGAGATTCTGGTTAGGGCACGGGAATAGGTATAGACCTAAAAATTAGCGCAAAACCCCTCGTTCCACGCTGTTTTCTAGTATCGTACCTGAAGTATACTGTCTAAGCATAAAATGTCAAGATCGAGATTTCAGGGGTGATATGGTACACATACGAGGTTGCTCATTTTGTTTTATAGAATTACTTTGAGGCTCAAAAGGCTGTTTACTACACATCAACTCATTTCAAATCTGTTTACTGAAGGAATAGCAAGCCAAGAATGAACAAAAGTAAATGTTTTCTGATATCTATATATTTGTTTCTACGCAGTTAAAAACTCCATATCAAAACCTTTTGTTTTTACGCGTTTTACTGTAGTCAAACGTTAATATAAGTAGAAAACATGTTAAATAAATATATTAAGGGAACAGACAGTTTGTTTTATCTTCATGAAAACCAAGTGAGTGCAGATCTGTGAGATCACATTGCTTTCCAGAAAACAAGGGTGGATTCAATTTTAAAATTATGCTTTGCAAATTTATGATGCTTTGTTCCATATACCTCAGTGATACCATTTTGCGACTGTAGTCTATTTATCACACCGATAGTTAAGACTGTTCATAAATCTATGTGAGACCCCTCTACATGCCGCCACTATCCTCTCTTACGCCGTAACTGAAAGATTTCCAAAGTATTTCGATCAGCAGTTTACTATGAAGAAATATGAAAGACTGCCGCAGAAGAATGGCCACACCTTTCGTTAGTAAGTATAATTTAATGTTATTAAGGCGCATTATTAACGATAAAAACGTTGCCAGAAATGGGCCAGGGAACAAACGGGTCCACGAGTTGGTACGACAAAGACGTTATTTTCCTTCCAATGAAAGGGTATAATTTTAGGCCGATTAAGACCTTTCGGAGGTGTACCGGCCGATATTCGCTGTAAAAATGCTTAAGAAAAGTAGGCAGTAAATACACTGATTGCAGGCCCTCATTCTGGAAGAGCGTTTGCTTCTGTGGTGAGGTCTTATATTTGCACAGGCCTATAAATTCTATCCAAATGGGAATATGCTGAAAATTTATTCTAAAAAAGCACATCACTCAGACGCCACCTTTCGAGAACTGTCGACGACTGATAGTTTGGCTGGCTACTAAGTTCAGAGGGGGGGACAATATGGCAGTCGACTAAGGGCACCCTCAACTGCAAGCTCTTTCTTGAAATCGTAAAGAATGCGATCGGTTATAATGGCACCCATAGACGGCGTCAAAAGCACGGATCTTACTTATATCCGAAAGCTTTGTGCGCTTATCAAATTAAGTGGCACAGAAAAATAAATAACTTTAAACGTAAAAGCCTGTTTTTTCGCAAGTTATCGTAGGCAGCGAACTCTGGACATGTCTAAACTATTACGATTTGTTGTAAAAGTGAATGGGCAGTTAAAAAGTACCGATCCTTTGTATTTATGATTAATTTTCACTAGTTCAAACGTGTTATTTGCTTTTATTTCTTAAGCACATTTAACCTTTTCTGTAATATAGCCTTTATCTGAAGTATGACTTTTGTCGGAAAAAAAATATTTTCGGTTGAAGCGCAACTTCGTCAAGCATGATTGGATAGGTAGATCACGACACATTAGTCAGTCGTTAGGGGGCGGTGTGGGGAGGAGTTAAGGACGGGTGGAGGGAATAGTGTTACTTCCCTCATCGACTCGGACGGATCACGTGAGTAAATCGCTTACAAGGCTCCACGACGTCAATAAATCCTGCAGGTTTGCCGCCTGTACCTTATAAAAATACTCTAGATGACGCTTCAAAATCGACTCCTGGTATTCCCTCAAAAGTAACTGAATAGGTATTTTTGCGTTATTTGATGTCAAATATGCCATAAATTGACTCCGAATAACGAATGCGCAATGTCTACACCAAATATATCATTCGGCAGAAGAATATCGTCGATAAACACGCCCATTCTAGCTTTACTTTTGTCTGTTTAACGTGATTGTTTCAAGGAGCACAATGAGCATTTGGATTTGGATCTACTGCTTTGGACTATAGACACCTACTCAGGGAAACAGGTTAGATTAGGGAAAGGTTCGGTCTTTGTACTTATAAATGTCCTCTACCAGAAACGCAAGCAATTAATTTGTTTTGTGTGAAAGCTAGTAAAATGCGCTTGGCAGGCAGTGGCGTGGAGGAGGTAAGAAATATCCTGGACCTGATTCGTGACAACGAGTATCCTGATAGGTTTATTGGAAAGAATATGATCTCCAGACCAGCAAGTCCACCAAACAAGGAAGTACAATTCCTTAAAGTCCTCTTTCAAGGGGATATGAGATTTGATCTCCTGAGAAGACACTTCGACCAAATCAATTCACGAACGCAGCAGCGACAGTTCAGCTTTCATTCTGAAATAATCTAGATTTCCACAAAGAATGTAATTATAGGTTTTTAATTTATACCCCCTCAATGCGCGTCTACTAATTTACTTGCTCCTGTGGAGCCGATTATATAGGTCACACGAGTCGGCCCCTATCCAAAACAATAAAGTAACGCACCCCGACGTGACTGAGAAAAAGCGAAGCTAAGCGCATAAACAGAGCTATGTTCGCACACGCAGTTTATTCCTGACATGGTGAGGACCCCGACGAAGCCTGCCATGCGATTTGTAAGCTCCCACCAAACGACCCCATGTTTATGGGCCAGTGTCTGCTAGTAACAGCAGAAGCAACCGCTGGCAGATTGAGGAAGCCAGTTATGTGTATCCTCTCCCTGGAACGGCTCCACTAAATCCTAACTGCCGCTAAATCAACCGCCCCTTATCAGCCCCCGCCCTATTCATTTGTATGAAAAAGACGAACATTACTGACCACACAACCAGAATTAATG